TAATTTATATTTTTTGAAAAGTAAATTATCTTCACTAATTTAGGGTCTTAAATCCACCATTGTTCTCGATCTTTTTAATCTCATTATTTCGACATTTCAACCTTATATTGGTTCATCAAAGTATTTTTATCTTTATTTATTAACTTTATCGTTTTGTTCTCATTCTCCAATAGTTTAATACATGTGTCATCGTATTTTATAAATATAATTATAAATTATGTTAAATAGTATGTTAGATAGGACTTTAAGATAATGATGAAAAAAATCATAATTTTATAGATTTATAATTAAATAATAATAATAATATAACAATTTTTTATATTTTTAAATGTTTGAATTATTTTCTTTATAGTTTTGTATATCTGAATGTATATTGTAAAATTTAAATTAATATATTAAAATTATTTGAAGTTTTAGAAACTATTTTTATTTTTTACCTTCATCTCCACTTTTTACCTCGTAAAGTTTGAAAATTTTATTACAAACTTGAAATAATAGTGAAACATGTATTTTAGTTCATGCAAAGATACCATTCTTATAACAATTAAACATTATTATAAAAATGCATGATTGATGAATCGAGATAAACCATTGCATTGCATGATTGATGATACTTTTTATCTTGACACTCCTATCAAATTAAAGACACATCTGTTTGGAAAGTGACATTGAGCGTAGTGATACATGTATGCAACAGTGTTACGTCTCCGTTCACCTCCTTTGAAAATTATGATAGTCTAGTCTATTTTGGAGGCTCCATGCATGGATCCAAATACAGTACTTCGAAGTTTATACAACACACGTCAATGGACAATTTTTCTTTTTCTTCTTTTATTAAGTGTGGTTTTTTTTAATATACTTATTTTATCATTTTCATTTCTTATATATATTTTTTTATTTTGTAATATTAAATTTTATCATTTTAATGATTATCATTAGATATTATTTTATAAATAAATAAATAAAATTTCATAAATATCACTACTCAATTAAAACTCGTACAAAAAATTTTAAAAATATATACTTATATATGAAGAAAGAGAACTTTAAAACTATGTTAAACAAAACAAAAATAAATATTTTTTTTTCTTAAAATATCACATTTAATTAAACCATACCATATAAAAAGAAAAAGAAAAATCTAAGTTAAATCATCGGCAATCTCGTTAAACTCGTATTTATACGAAAATGACACTCAATCCAAATAAAACAATACAAACAAAAGAATATAACATATATTTCACACATATTAAGGATTTGTAAAAAAAGAAGAAGAAAAAAGCAAAGTTAGAATATCTCGAAGGGCATGAAGAAAGTATATTCGTTAAGCACCCTTAGTTAGACTTAAAAAAAACATAAAAGCATAAAAGAAAATTATTTATATGTATATGTTTAAACTGTAGTGTAGACGAAAATTTCAATTATATAATTCTTATTTAATGTTATTATATTAAAAATATTATTTTGTTTAAATCTATATTATTTTTAAATAAGTTTAGAGAATATAATTATTTATTTTATGAATGAAAATAAATAAATAAAATAAATAAAGCTAACTAATGTTAACATTCTGAATAAATGTGAAATTAGGTATAAATTAAATTCTATATATGTCAAAAATATCATATACATAATAAATATAATTTATAAAAGTGATTTATATTAAATATGTAAATGATTCTAATACCTGTGGTTTCGATAAATTTTTTTTCTTTTTATTCTTCTAATACAATATTTTACTATTTTAGTTTTTATTATCAGAGTTTTAACAATATATACATGACGTAATATATAAAATGTGTTGTCCCTATCATATATAATGCCACCTATTTTGATATTCTGACATTAGATTTTCCGCTTGATTAACAATACCCTATTTCGATCTTCTTTCCCTGGAGAATAAATAATTATGTGCCAACAATAGCGACAAAAAAAAAAAAAACAAAAAAAAAAAGTGTCATTGAGAATAATTGAACATAAAGTGTTAATAAGTAGACTTTTTAGACTCGCCATGAACACACACAATAGAGATTAAAACATTAAAATGTTACATTAAAAAATCGAGATGATGAAATAAATATATTGAAAGGACCAATAAAACCTCATTAAGCTATGAAGTGCGAGGTACATAGGTGGATGTTGGTGGCACCATTGAACAATGGAAAGTGTGGACAATAAAATTAATTTTTTAATATTTTTGTGATGATTAATTATTAATATTTTTTATAGATATTTTGTTAATGTAATATGATTTAAAATATAGGTGTGAACATGGATTTGAATTTTGAATACTACGCCTGTGTAATTATGAAGAGGCATAATATTGGTCAACGACAGTTTCCTCTTCACTCCACGTTTTTATGTTTGTTCTATTATAGTTGTCATAATCTACAACAAATCATGGGGAATTCACTAAACATGTCCAGTAGCTATTTAATATATAGTATCATCAATATGCATTTAATGTGGTTTGAACTTTCAAGGTTGAAATAAAATGTCACATTCTAAAAAAGTGAATATGGCTTCAAATTTTGTAAGATCCACCATAACAAATATATAAGTAGAAGATTATGATATTTTTAAAGAGTTAATTATCTATTAAGAGCTATACAAAACCATAACCGTTGAAAAATTTGTTAACCTTAGTGAAAAATATATTATCAATATATTTTATCTATATTTTAATTGATATATTTTACATAAAATTATTTTATTTTATTATTTTATTATATTTATTGTTAATATAATTTTAAGAAAACAAAATTATATATATTTTTAGTCAACTTAATTAAATTATATATTTTATTTAATATTTATATATTGATAGGTGAATGATAATTAATTTAAGAAGATTTAAAACTTTCATTATAAACATTTTACGGAAAACTCTGCATAACAAATGTAAGATAGAAAGTTAATTTTTAGAATGATCAATCCGCTAATTAATTTAAATTATAAATCGTCGAATAAAATTATAAGAATTAGATTAACTAATTATTTTGTTCAATCAAATAAGAAACGTTAATAAGAAATTGTAAATTAATTAATAGTTCCACAGAAATGACAAATGAAGTTATATTTTTATATATTATTGTTTATAAATCTAACGATAAAGTTATATTTTAATTTAATTCAATTTATAGATTTATAAGTTTTTTTTTTTGTCTATTTTCCTCTAGTTTAGTGTTAGCTTGTTCAAACTCTTCTACAATTAGTATAGTACTAATTCAATTATTCTTCTTTTCAAGTTCTTTAATTCAAGTGTAATTGAACATATTGGTTAATCTTACTATTTTTTCAATTAATGTATTTTACAATTTTATTATTTTTTGGTTTTTTACATTCTTAGGTTTTATTTTCTAATTTGGATTTTATATCAATATTTGATTATTTTATAATTTTATCAATTTATAATTTAATAATAATCAATTATAATTATGATTATTAAGTTAAATTTAATTCATTACATCATAAATCAATCATAGATTCATATAATTATTATTATTATAATTGAATTGTGTTGGTAAATCAATTAAATACAGTAAATAGAGTAGATCTAGTTAATTAAATTTTGAATGATTAAAATTCCTACAAATTGATAATAATCAACGGGACTAGAGAATTAACAACTATTTTTACGTAAGTTTTCGTAATTCTACTATTTTTACATAATTCTTCTGTTATACCAATTAAATATAAAATACAAAAATCCATCTGGGGTTTTATCATGCCTCAACTGACTCATAACTAATCGATTTGAAGGTGCTCCTAATAAACAAGAAAATTGTATTTAATAAATCCCAACTATTTATTATTATTAAATCTAATTGTTAAAATGAAATTCAATTGAAACAATAAAAAAATATAAATACTTAATTTAATGGGATAATGAGTTGATTATAATTTTTATTTTAAGCTATATATTATTAAAAAATACAATAAATGATAAAATCTATTTATGGTTGGCAGGCTAGTCGATGTGAACACGAGGATGCAAATTCATAACGAAATAGCCTACAGCTACTAGGAATCTAAAAGAAAATTCTATATCTTCTTCCATGAAACTATAGCCATTAAAAGTTTCAAACTAAATACGTTTGAGTTTCAAACTAAATACGTTTGAGTTTCAAACACGAAAAGTGATATATTTGTCTCTAAGAATCAGACGCATACATCACATTGATCTCTCTAGTAATCACTCCAAAAAGCAGGTCCACAATCAAGCACAATATCATCTCGTTAGCCTAAAGTGCCTTTGTATGAAGACAAAAGCCAAGGATTTATTCCTGCCATGTAATGTGACATGACCCATAAGATTGAGGTGGAAGAAACTTAAGTAGTGGTTGCAGGGACAAGGTAATTTATAGTTTCCTATGTTATTAATTTACTCTAAAATATTATATAATTTATACATATTGATTTTCGTAATATCACATATATATATATATATATATATATATATATATATATATATATATATATATATATATATATAAAGAAGACTAATAGAGTATCTTCTTTAATTTTTTTGTTTTTTAATTTTTTTTCTCAATTTATTTTTTTGCCTTTTTTTCTCTTCTTACGCTTTAGTTTATCGTAAAAAATTTTATAACCAGAAAAAGAATCTTAATTATCTTTCATTAACTCACTTCCATCAAATTGATTACCAAGATAGTTATCATAAATTTTTATTTTATTTTATCTTTTATTTTATTTTAACTTCATATAATAACCAATATATTTTTATATTTTATTAAATTATATTTCGAACTCATTCTTATATTTCACACGAGTAACTTTATATAATAACCAATATATTTTTATATTTTATTAAATTATATTTCGAACTCATTCTTATAGTAACGTAATATCCGAATATGCATTTTAGAAACTAAAAATTAGCAAATTATTATTTAATAATATAACTTGTGTTTTGAGTTTATATATGTGAAGTCTTCATATACATAAATAGCAACAAGATCTAGATATCATTCTTAAACCTAGGCACTGTGAGATCCAAGCTCCAGTTGATGAGTTTCATCATGGAAGTCCACACTCCCCTTGTACTGATATCTTCGAGCAACAAATATGAAAAAAAACAGGTTGAGGGTGGCTAACACTGCTATGAGGTAGTAAAAGTAGTCTATCCTCCCAGCATTTATATCATTTGTCAACCAATCTGGATGGCTGTGTGTGCTTGTAGTATGATGAACAATGTTGACTATTATGCTGCTCACATAGTTAGTTACAGCAAAAGAACACGAGAACAAGGAATTGCCAACGCTTCTCATATGCTCAGGAAATTGCCTGTTGAAGAACTCGATCTGTCCTATTACATTGAATGCCTCACAGAGCCCCATAAGGATCAAGGGTGGGGCTAGCCACAAGACTGACATGGGAGCAATTCCTAGTGGATTTGGATTTGAATTTGCTGAATCCCTTCTCACTTTTTCAACCATGCCAGCCACAACCATAGAAAGAATGGAGAACACCATGCCAATTCCAATTCTTAGGAGGAGAGTGATGCCCCCTTCATGGTTTGTCATTTTTCTGAGTTTTGGCACCAAGACTCTGTCATAGAATGGGAGCCACAAAGTTATGGTGATTAATGATATGACTACAAGTGAACCAGCTGGGATTTGGAATTTGGGTCCCAGGTGTCTGTTCATTTTCATTGCTTGTGACACAGTAAATGTCCCTTGTTGAGTCATGGAAGTGAGACTAAGGATTCCTGCTGCCCAAATTGGGATAATTCTGACTAAGCATTTCACCTCTTCCACTTGTTGGATGCTGACAAGTCTCCACTGATTTACTATGGTCCCATCTGGGTTTAACTCACCCTCCATTATTAAAGTAGCTTTGTTCAAGGCACTAGCAAAAGACAAAATAATCATTTATTCGTCATGAAAATAATCGAGTTGTTAATCTTCTTATTTCATTTTAAATTAAAAAACTTTATTTTCTATTTCCGAAAGTTTGTAAAGGATAAAATGGAAACAGATTTTTAATAATTTTTATTTTCGTTTTATATTTTGATAATTCTCATACAAACATGTAAAGCAGAAACAAAATAAAAATAGAAAACATTTTACAAACCAAACAATCTCCAAAACAAGCTAAAAAAAAAGAAAAAGTAACTACTTCCGTATAGCAATTTAATCCATCAAACATCACCAATTTTCAAGATTTGTTTGTAGGAAAATAAACCAAGTTTTAGAAGCAATTAGTGGACATGATTCATGATTTTTTTTTGGCACAAACTAACAATGATCACTGGGCAATGATGTAGTGAAAAACAGAAGAGATGCCCCCACCCACATGTATAAAAAGTCTTGCTAGTGGAACTCAAATAAGCATTTTAGTGTTAATGAACAGATATGTTTCTGACCTGAATTGTTTGGTTAAGGGAAGCTTTGATACAACCGTGGTCCCAATTAGTGGGGGATCATAGAAAGCCCCATCTGACTTTTCCTCACTAATTGGAAGGGTGAGTTTTCTCTTTCTATAGGCAGCCACCAGAACTCGAGCAATACCAGAAAAGATGCTTCCTTCAGGCTTCACATGCACATATAGGTTGGTGCCCACAAAGAACATGATTATGGAGCAGAGCATACAGAGAGTGGGTATCGCAAAACCTATTTTCCAGCTCACAGAGTCTTGGATGTATACCACCACGGTTTGAGTGACCAAAAGGACCATATTGAATGTGGCATAGTACCAGTTAAAGTAGCTGTTGATATCTTTCTTCCCTTCTTCTGTGGTTTGATCAAATTGGTCAAGACCAAATGGGATGCTGCATGGTCTTACCCCGGCAGAGCCTATGGTTATAAAGCTAAGTCCCAAAATCAACACACCCACTTGGGAATTGCTTGCTCTTACACATTTACCAGATGCTAGGTCCTCAGGGCCACAAGGTGGTGGCCTTAACTGTGGTAACCATGATGTTAAAGTCACCACCATCATCCCCTATTTCACAATATTCAACTGAAAATGTTAGCAATCTTTAATTTTCACATAATTAAAAATGTTCAATTTTAAGTAAAATGTATTTTTCTATTTAAAAAAAAAAGTTCAACTTTTAGTTTCTTTGAAATTTTACATTCATCAAATTTTGGAAATAAATATTTTTTTATCCCTGAAATTATTTAGAAAACATTACCTTATTCGATAACATTTTTGGATTACAAGTAGTGTATATAAAAAGTAAAGAGATAAAAGTGATTTAAAAAACTTTCCTTCATGTAAATGGGGATTGAAGTTGTCTTGTCCATTTCATTCTCTCAATTATATTGTCCCTTGCTAAGATTTGTCCTTTAAATAAAATTGATGACAGTGTTGTCTTTAAACTAAGATTTGATTATTGGACGAATATGTACACACATCTAATCTAATTATTCATAGTTGCACGTATATTTAGAGTGCGTAACCTTTTCAAAACTTTCTAAATAGTAAGAGAGATACACAAGTAGAATGTTTCATGCGTGTGAATCTCATCTTGGCACTGTCTATGGACGCTGAATTCAAAATTTTCCAAGTGTCTTTTCCATGTTTAATTGTACTTGTATTGTAATGATTTTATAAATTGAATATGAATTATCTAAGCATTTGTTTGGTAAATGAGAAGACTTTTTCTTTTTCTTTTTTTATGAAATTTATTATACCATTTTTAACATATTTTTATGCTTTCGTACTTATTATTAAATTAATTAAATTTAGACCTATTTCTATTTTACTTAATAATTAAATTTATTTTATCTATTTCTTTAATTTATTTTTTCTGTATTCATATTTTTTTTGTTTTCTCAAAAATAAAAAATATAACATAAAAAAACCTATAATCAATTTTATTGGTTGATAATATATTTGTTTCCTATGCACTTTTTAATATTTATTTATAATTTGAAATGCATAACACTCTATCTCTCTCACACATACACACAAATAATATATATATATATATATATATATATATATATATAATAAGATTTTTATTGTGTAAAATGTTTTAAATAAAGTCAATATGATGCAATAAAGTAAAAAAAAATGACCGAAAAGCTAACATTTTATAAAAGAAAAAGAAAAAACTATAAACTGAAATCACCAGCAAAAAGACATTGGATTGTATAGTATTTTAAACAGGATTTCGTAAATGAATACAATCCAAATAAAAAAAATAAAAATATTAGCATAATGTAATTTATTTATGTAATTATGATAAAAAATTTACTTTTTTATAAGTATATATTTGTAAATTAGTTTTCTAATTTAATTTTTAGTCTTATTATCTAAATTACATGTTATTAATCTATTAACTTAGTTAGTTGAAATTTTTATCTCTTATTTTTTACCTTAATACGTACCTTTATACTTCATATTAATAAGAATAAGTTTTAGTAGATAAAAAAAAGAGAAAAAAAAATACAATATAAGAAATAACAATTCTAAGGAATCAAACTTATTCATAAATACTTTTAAGAAGAAAATAACAGGAGTTGAAACATTTTTATTTTATACAATGTATAAAACAATTATTTTTAAAATATTTAGCGAGAAGTTATCTTCACAAACCCTAAAATTATTATAATGCACGTATTATTTATTTTTTATGAATATATATATATATATATATATATATATTGATTTTAAAAATAAATTATTTTTTAACTAATAATTTATAATCTAGACAAGACAACATTGGCTGAGATACTAAATACTTGTTTAATAATGAAAATCATACAAACAAAAATAAAACAGCTGAAACAAGCCAAATCATATTTATTTTTTGACATTTTTATTAAAAAAATAGAATTATTAAATGCAACAGACATTTTCGTTTCATAGTACTACTTTGCATTTTCCACCTGTCACCATGTAGCTATTGACTCTACTACCTTAAATTATCATCATTATTATTTTATTATGCTCAACCACTCCTCTGCAAAAGGTCCAGAAAACAAGAGGATGATGACACACATGCAACATTTAATGCGTACTCGGAATGCTGTTTCATTTTCCCTACCACCACTTTGTAATTTATTTACATTAATTAATTAATAATAATGAATATGTTATTATATAACACATACATTTACATACCTTTCTTGTCAATTAATATATAAATTTAATTAATTATTTTTCAAATTCAATTTCTTCACTTTTCTTTTTATAAATTTGATTCCCTGTTTAATTATATAATTTTAGTTTATCCCATGGTATTACATCAAAATTAGATTTTATTGTCTTCCAAATTATCTAATTATGTATTTTTTTCTAAGATTGCTTTCAATTAAAATAGTACATGAAATATATATATATATATATATATATATATATATATATATATATATATATATATAAATAAGGTTATAGTGGAGTGAATATATTTAATGCACATGCTTTTGTCTTCTTCTTACATCGAAAACCACCTAAAAGGAAAGTGTGGCTATGATGAGCAAGTTGTGTTAGGTTTTGTGTTTTATTGAAAAATAAAAATAAATAAAGTGATCTTACCAAGAGGGTACCAAAGGATGCAAAAGCTATCATCCGGAAGCGACCAATATATGCGTCCGAAATGAAGGCACCAAAAAGTGGGGCAAAGTTTGTGATTCCAAACCATAAATTCAAAATGTTAGAAGCATTAACTTGATCCAAGTGAAGTTCATTTGTCAAATACACCATGAAGTTCGCAAACAATCCAAACGCTGCCAACCTCTCAAACGTTTCATTCCCTGCAACATTAACCAAAATCCAACAAAAAAAGAATTATTATTTTGTGTTATTCATAAGATTTTCATTAAAAGTTACTTCTTCTCCTAGCTTAATACAAGATAATGATAATTAATTTGTACTTATTAAAGTTTATTTTTTTTAAATTATTCTTAATATAAGCAGAGAAAGTAATCACAATAACAAATTAGTTATTAAGATTATTAAACTCTTAAATTCTCTTCATAAGAGCGAAAAAGGAGATTTAAAAAAGACTTAATTTATGAACTAAAATAGGAAAAAAAAATTGTAAGAAATGATTGAAAAAAATGTTATAAAAAAGACAAATGAATTAAAACAGTGTCTTATAATTAGAGCTAAAGGAGTATAAATTACTAGTTGAAACTCTAATTCTTGCAAGAGTATAAAAAACTCGTGTAAAGTTGTACATAGTAAGTTTTGGTTTGTTAAATTGGGTGATTCAAAGTAACTGGGGGTTTGAGTTTTATAAATGGAAAACGCATGGTTAAATCAACTTTGTTGCTCTTACTATTTGACATAAGAACTGTAGTATCTTCATTCAAAACTGTGAATGCATGAAGGCAGGAAATCCATATCTTAAAAAAATGGCACGATTAGTGGAATGAGAGGGAAAAACACACACATAGCTAGCTAGAGAAAAGAGAAGTAGACCTAAAATAAAAGCTACGGCTTTCCATCCTCCACGTTTGGGTTTGGTAACTGATGATTCACAAGCAGCTCCAGGAAACTTTTGGGTTGGCTCCATTTTTTCTGATGGTGAAGAACATGAAGAAATGCAGCTTCCAAAGTAAGAAGGGGCAGAGTCACACTTGGTTTGTTATCTAAATTGGTAGCTGGCTACGTACATCAACTTGTGTGCATTCTCTTCAAGTACTGTGTATGGTCTCGTTTCGGAATCAATTTCTTGGCTCACATCGAGGCATAATTAAAGTGTGTGTATGTATGTGTTAATAAGAGTTTGGTGGGGGTGTAAGATCAGAGGAACTGAGACCCTTATTTATATGCACAAAGACAAAGGTTTGGTTGAGCTGTGGTTTTGGGGCACGATGAATTTTCAATAAATCTCAGACTCAGAAAGAGACTTTGAAGGTGTGCCACCACCACGACCATTTATCATCTCATGCACAATGCGTATCTCTACTAATTGCGTAAAGAGTTTGGCATCATGAGTGGTAGAGTGGGGACCAACCTTCTTCTGCTGTGTATCACTCATCACACACATTCAAATCTGATGAACCATTTTGCTTTAACAACCATTCGATCATTCTCGTTATTGTATGCATGATGAGTTATAGATGAGCATGAGTTTGCTTTAGCTGATATGTATAAGGGGTCCCTCACCTCCTTAAACAGTGGTATTTTTATTTTTATTTTAAGGTATAAATATATTAAAAAATTATAATTTAAATTATAAAAATTAATAAAATAAATTTAAATTATTAATTATAATTAGTTATTTTAATATATATATATATATATATATATATAATGGATTATTGAAATTGATTATAATTTTTTTTTGTCTTTTATTATAATACTAGTAGTTAATAATTTAAAATTGATAAACAAAATCATTTTTTGTCATTAATTTCTTTTCAACTAAAATTTGTTAAACTTTGAACTTAGTTGAACACTTGGTGGTTTGATTATAAATGAAAATAAGATTGTGGATTCAATTAAAATTTTAGTGATCAACTTTGCATAATTAAAATATTTTAAAAAACTATAAATCTTTATAAAATTATTTTTTAATAAATTAAACAATTTTTTATAATAAAGATGGAGTATAAGTTATGTCTCATCAGTACGAGATGATTTATAACTTAATTTATACGGTATGATTGTTTTCACGTTTATAAGAGGGTAAACGATACATGTGTAGACATGATTAATAAAAGTTATCATGACTGTAATAAAATTATATTAAAATATAATTTATTATCTTAAGAAATAATATATTATTATCACTTGAAATAATTGATTACGATTTTCACGTTGTATCTAGAACAAAATAATCTACTGTAACAATCAATTAACTCTATTTTTAAGAAGTTTCAATACAAATATTAAAAAATAACAAGTTTATATATCCAAGTGTAGGCATTTTGTACCACGCTGTATTCAACAAATAAAACAATTTATTTATTTTTATTGCAAGTTTATAGCATTTATTTTTCCTTGTTTCCTAATAAAATCATTCACCAAACTTATAGAAGGAATTTTGTAGAGATGACCATTTTCTTAGAAGTTAAATTTCTAGTAATTCTTTTTCTAAACTTTAGAATTTTTTTAGTGTATATATTATACTTAACATATTTTTTACTTCTTCTTTTGTGATGCGCATGAACATAAAATGAATGTAAAAACTATCATGACGTTTATATTTTGTATAATATTAAATCATTAAGTTGTATAAATTTATTATTAAAAAATAAAATTGATTATTTTTTTTTAATATCAACACTCCCAGCTCAATTATTATTAAAATGAAATTTTTATTTTAATTAAACTATAGTTTTAAATGTATTTCTAATTTACATGTATATATAAGATTTAATTAAAACTATTTTAAATATGTTTCTAATTTATAAATTCTCTATACAATTTTAATTTTTTTTAAATTATTTAAAATAATTTTAATCCTATTCTCATTTCATTATATAATTATTTATTATCATTTTATATGTCATTTTAATTTAGTTACATTTAGAGGTAGTTTTAATTTAGTTATCCTAGAAATAATTAAACTAAAATTAAATGTAAGGTAAATTAAAACCTATCACTCAAATTTTTTTATTAAAATAATTATGAAATTATGATTCTTCATTATACCTTATGATATGCAGAGTAAATATGGTATTTGCGAAAAAAAAACTGAAAGTATATAATTTTTATTTTAATAATAATAATATTTAATTTTAAAATTAAAGATATTAAATATTTAATAAAAATATTATTTTAATTCTTTCTGAGAGTAAAATAAATAAATGTTTAAAGTATTTAATTTTTTTATTTAATTAAAATAATAGACGTTAATATCTTCTTTATATTTTCGAGTTCAAATTTTATTTTGAATATTACTTTTTTTAATATTTTTTCCTCTTACCCCAATTTTAGTTGTGATAATATATATATATATATATATATATATATATATATATATATAAATCAATTAACCCTTAATTATTTTGTGTATTATGTCCATTCACACTTACATTAGTTGATGCATTCACAGATAGTCATTATAAGAATTTTTTTTAATATATTATATTAAGGTTCTTGCAGTAAAGAAAAAAAAGTATGATAAAAGAAAAAGAAAAAAAGAGATAAAATAAAATGAAAAATATTATTGTTAGTATGAGAGAAAAGTAATAGAAAGAGAAGGAAAAATATTTATTTTAAAAAATAAATTTAAATTAAATATTTATTTAATTACAAACTTATTTATAAAATTATTATTTTTTATTAATCAAATATTTTTTTAAATTAATATCTACTTTTTTAATAATATATATTTTGATATATAATTATAAAATTTGTTTATTATAAAAAAATATGAGTTTGAATAAATAAAAGATAATCATATTGAAAAATAAATTAAATTATTTATTTGATTTTTATAATATTTTTATAATTATGATATTTTCTTATAATATTAATTATATAATAAAAAATATTATTATTTGAGTAAGAATAATTTTATTAAATAATATTTTCTTTAGACTTTTTCTTATTTTTCATGAATGCAAAATAAACATATATATACTATAATTATAATTAAAAGTAATATATTATTCTATTACCTTCCCTCTATTAAATAATAAAAATATATTTTTGTTTACACTTATTTTTATGCATTAATCAATTTTTACTGTCACTTTTTCACAATCACCTTCCTACACACAAGGAGAGAGCATACGGGGTTTTGTAATATTCTCTATAATTTATTATCATCATTATTTTTTATTTATATTTAATAAATTGATTTAAAATAATTACACGAGATAATTAAATTTATATTTATGAATAATGAAAAAGAAAAAATAAAAACTATTATAATGACTAGTGGAAACATATTCGTATCTCCTTTTTTTTTATAATTTTTTTTTTACTTTTTAAATGTTTCTATTTTTTTTCTCCACTTATTAGAGATAATATTTTTTTATCTCTAATTAAAAAAACTTGTAGAAAGGCTATGGCATTCATGTGCTATTATATAGGACATATTGCAATCGTGCTCAATTTGACAACCACTAGTAATCGTGCTAAATTTCACTGTTATTAAATAAAAGCAAATAAGTCAAGCATGGACCCAGCCCATCATGCCGACATGCATCAACTTCGAATTTGGAAGAGATTAGATATTGGAAAAAAAAAAATCTTCATCATGAAACTATGAATTGAATACCACACAAAGGCAAGTTTATATAATTCAACTAGTTGATGATAATTTATGAAAAATAAAATATTTAATAATGATTTTATTAATAAACTTATAAATGACTAAATAAAGTTGTATTAACGTGTTATTTAATACAAAATGTATCATATTTATAATTTTTTTGGTTTAAGGAAAAAATTTTATATTTACTTTTTGCGAAATAATTCTTTATATTGTACACTAAGAACTCTTTAACTATTTTTGTTAGTTTTTTCAAATTATTATTTTTATTATATTTTAATATATAAAATTATTATTATTTTATTGACATTTAATATAAATTATTTCATTTGAACATGTTAGAAAAAAAATCTAATTTATCATATTTAAGTTATACAATAACAAATAAAATTCATTAAAAATTATAAATCTTTTTTTTATTTTAAAAAAGCAAATTATATATGAAATAAAATCATGTTTTTAAAACTAATTCTTTGAGACCAATTTTATCTTAGTTAAAATGAAACCCAATTTTTGTTAGAAATAAGTAAAAAAAAGCTGAAAACGATTAATACTGTTTTACGTTGCTTTCATTTTTCTGTTTTTGTACTGTGTATAAATACGTTCTTTCATTTTTTACATAATGTACGTGGGTTTCCATTTATTCTTCTGCATGCATGCATAGTTTCTATATGGTATCAAGAGCCAGAACGGTTTAGTGAAGGGATTTCCAGTTCATACTGTGTGTGGCGTGTTAGGGTGCTCTTTGTGAAGCACATACGTGTGAAGTTCAAAATCATGGCTGGACTTAGTGGATTCATTCCTGGAGGGTTACCCATGTTCGATGGAAGCTGTTTTGATGACTGGAAGATCAAAATGCACGCGGTGTTTGGATTCCAAGATATGGCCGAAGTGATCGAAGATGGCGTCGTTGATCCCGGTAGCAAGGCATCAGACGAAGAAAAGAGGAATTACAAACAGATGCAGAAGATGGATAGCAAAGCCAGGTATTTGCTATATCAATGTGTGAATTCTGAGATCTTTAACAAAATTTCAATGGCTGAAACGGCTAAAGAAATATGGGAGATTCTCATCAAGACTTACGGAGATAGTGACAAGCACAAGCGAGTAAAGTTGCAGGCCCTACGTAGAAGCTTTGAGTTCTTGATAATGGAGGATAACGAATCTGTGGCGAGTTACTTCAACAAAGTTCAGAGTGTGGTTAACGCCATGAAAAATTGTAACGAGACATTGTCTCAAGAACACGTGGTAAACAAGATTCTTCGTTCTTTGCATCCAAAGTTCGATCATCTTGTTATCACAATTGAAGAAACAAAGGACATCGACAAGCTGAGTATTCAAGAATTACAGCACTCGTTGGAGGCTCACGAACTGCGCATGAGTGATCGCAAATCGTATCAGGAGTTGGTTCTTCAAGCAAGAACATCATCGAAGCCAAAGAAAGATACCAAGAAGGGTCACAAATCCAAGAAGAAGATTGATCCAGAGTCGAGAGAAGGTGAATCAAAACAGGGCGGGAATGTGAGTACAGACAAGGTGTTTAACAAAAAGTGAGTGAAATGCTATAACTGCCAGAAGTATGGTCACTTCGCACGCGACTGCTGGCATGGTGATGGAGCGAAAAACAAACCCAAGTCTCTGTCCCAGGCAAATCTCGCACAAGAAGAGTCGTCCGATTCTGAAGCCGTCTTACTCATGGTTCAGACCAAGAACGAAGATAATGATGATGATGCTTGGTATCTTGATTCCGGGTGTTCTACTCATATGACTGGCCGGAGGGAGTGGTTTGTGAAATTAAGTAATGAGACTCAAGAACGGGTGCGATTTGCAGACGATAGTTGTTTGCATGCAAAAGGGAATGGACGAGTCGTGTTAAGAAGCCTCGAAGGAGAAGAAGTTATAGTCGACGGCGTCCTGTATGTCCCTGGGTTACGAACCAATTTGCTAAGTCTTGGCCAGTTAATGCAGAAAGGGTTCAAGATGGTTCTGGAGGAGAATTCTCTACGGGTCTATGATCAAACAAAGAAGCTTGTCATTTGTGCTGCACTATCATCCAATCGTACGTTCAAGGTAAAAATAACTACGTTAAACCATAAGTGTTTTGCAGCTGCAGTGAACAGAGAAGAGTGGTTGTGGCACTTACGCTTTGGTCACTTGAACTTCAAAAATTTGAGTGAACTGAGTGTTAAAGGAATGGTTGAAGGGATGCCTCGCGTGTCTGTGCCAGAAGAAGCGTGTCATGACTGTGTGCAATGCAAGCAAACGAAGAATAAGTTCAGCAAATTTGTTGCCACCAAAACAACGAAGGAGTTAGAACTGGTATATTCTGATCTTTGCAGACCATTGCCTATGGAAACACCTGGGGTAGTTGATACTTTGTGACCTTCACGGACGATTACACCAGGAAGTTGTGGACGTTCTGCCTAAAGCGAAAAAACGAGGTCTCTGACACATTCAGGAGGTTCAAGAATCTCGTTGAAAAATAGAGTGGTTGCATGATACAGACGACTACGGCTCGATGGAGGGGTGAGTACAACTCACTGGAGTTTCAAAACTTCCCGACCGAAATGGGAATCACACACGAGGTTACACCGCCTCACACACCGCAACATAACTGAACCGCCGAGAGGAGAAATAGAACTCTCCTCAACATGGCCCGATGTATGCTCAAAAGTAAAAACGTGCCTATGTATATGTGGGGAGAAGCAATTGCAACAACAACCTATATTCTAAATCGCACACCTACGAAGAGGTTGGAGGGAGTTACACCGGAAGAAGCATGGTCAAAATGTAAGCCGATGTCAAGCATCTGCGAGTTTTTGGTTCCCTGTGTTTCCATAAAGTGTCCGAAGTGCAGCGAACCAAATTAGACGACAAAGGAAAGCCTATGGTGATGATTGGTTATCACACTACTGGAGGGTATAAGCTGTTTAACCCCGAAACCAAGAGTGTAACTATCAGCAGAAATGTAGTTTTTGATGAAGCCTCTGGTTGGGAATGGGAGACAAATAAGGTGAATAAGGCAACAGAGGTGGTCCCAATTATTGCGCTAGAACCTGATGATGCAGAAGATTCTGGTGAGATTGAACCTGAAGAAGATGTTCAGCAGCTTCGAAGATCCCAGCGTCAAGGAAAACAACCAACTCGCTTCAGAGATTATGAAATGTTAGGTGTTGTTACTGAAGAAGGAAACCCAGTGCATTTTGCATTGGCAGCAGAGGCGGAGCCCGTGGAGTTTGAGGATGCTATGCGTGATGAGAAATGGAGAAAAGCGATGTGTGAGGAGATAAAGTCCATTGAACGTAATGGAACGTGGAGATTGGTTAATCTTCCACCGCATAAAAGGCCCATAGCATTGAAGTGGGTATTCAAGGTGAAAGTAAATCCCAAGGGAGAGGTGATAAGGCATAAAGCCAGGTTAGTGGCTAAAGGATATTTGCAAAAGGCTGGGACTGACTTTGGAGAAATATATGCACCCGTTGCTAGACTTGATTCAATTCGAGTAATTATCGCTATTGCAACAATAAACAAGTGGAGAATGCATCAGCTAGATGTAAAAGCAGCTTTTCTAAATGGGTTGCTTGAAGAAGAGGTATACGTAACTCAACCGCCAGGATTTGAGGTTAAGGATGATAAACTGAAAGTTTACAAGTTAATCAAAGCTCTTTATGGCTTGAAGCAAGCCCCACGTGCTTGGAACAAAAGAATTGATCAGTTTATGCATCGGATTGGCTTTGAAAGATGCACCACGGAGCAAGGCTTATACGTGAAGTATTGGATCAACAATGGTCAAGAAGAAAAATTACTTGTATGCCTATACGTAGATGACATGCTTGTCACAGGAAGTAAAGCGGAATATATCAATCAGTTCATACATCAGATGACCACTGAGTTTGAAATGAGTGACTTGGGGGAACTCAATTATTTTTTGGGGATTGAATTCATGCAAACAAATCATGGAATGTTAATGCACCAGGAAAAATATGCGAAAGACCTGTTGAGCAGGTTCAAGCTTCAAGACTGCAACATAGCAGCTACACCGATGGAAACAGGGTTAAAGTTGGGAAAGAATGAAGATGAGGAGCCTGTGGATGAATCAGAATTCAGGAAAATGGTTGGGTGCTTGAGGTATTTGTGTTGTACAAGACCTGACCTAAGTTTTGCAGTTGGAATAGTGAGTAGATTCATGCAGGAACCTAAACAAACCCACATGAATGCTGTGAAACGTATCATGCGTTATGTTCAAGGGACAAAGAATATTGGTTTGCTGTTTACAAATAAAGGGTGCGAAGGAAGTGTTGAACTGAAGGGGTACGCAGATGTTGATTGGTGCGGAGATCAGATTGATAGGAAGTCCACTGCTGGATACATATTTTTCATCTGCGGGTCACCTGTCTCATGGCATTCCGTGAAAGAACCTGTTGTAGCTCTTTCCTCCTGTGAAGCAGAGTACATTTCTGCTTCTCAAGCTGCGTGCCAAGCTGCTTGGTTAGCAATGCTCTTAGAAGAGTTAAAAGTGAAGATGAATTGCTGTCCAAAATTAATGGTGGACAATAAATCTGGTATAGACTTAGCAAAACATCCTGCTGCTCATGGTAGGAGCAAACACATTGAAACCAGGTTCCATTTTTTGAGGGAGCAAGCCAATCAAGAGAAGCTTGAAGTCGTTTACTGTAAATCTGAGGTTCAGTTGGCAGATATCTTTACCAAAGCATTAAAAGGGGAGAGGTTTAGGTATCTGAGACAATCTATTGGAGTTGTAAAACCTGTTTGACTTAAGGGGGTGTGTTAGAAATAAGTCAAAAAAAACTGAAAACAGTTAATATTGTTTTACGTTGCTTTCATTTTTCTGTTTCTGTACTGTGTATAAATACGTTCTTTCATCTTTTACGTAATGTACGTGGGTTTCCATTTATTCTTCTGCATGCATGCATAGTTTCTATAATTTTTAAAAATATAGATGAAGTATTTTAAGAAAGCAACTCAAACCTATTAAAGAAGAAGCATGTATGATTTAAATTGGATAGAAAAGAAATTACAAAAAGTGAATATCATAGAGAATGAAACATTTGGCAATATATTATTTTCAACGGGCAACCCACCACCTACTAGAGACAAATACTATGGTGGAACATGACTTGTCTGCAAATAATTTAACCTGCATTTACTCGTAAAATAATTTAAAGAATTATGTTTTCAGCATCCGTTTTTCACAAGGGCCTTATAATGATACCTACGGGAACAAAGTAAGAAACATAACATATTCAACAATCCCAATGCAGCAATGACGAAATAGAAGTACTCTAATCTGCCCTTGTTAATGTCACCATCAAGCCAATCTGATTGGCCTTGCTTCCCAGTGAAAGAATGCACAATGTTTACTATGAAGCTGCTAAAGTTACTAGCAGCTGAAACATTGAGGCAGAGCAAGGAATTGGCAATACTTCTCATGCCCTGAGGGGACTCATTGTTGAAAAACTCAGTGTGTCCAACTGTTGCAAACACATGACAGCATGCTAAAAGCATGAACTGAGGAGTCAGCCACAACACTGACATGGGTGCAACCCCATCAGATGCACCTGATGAAATGGCCAATTCCCTCCTCTTGATCTCCACCAACCCTGAAACCACCATTGATAGAAAACCAAAAGCATGTCCAAGTCCAATTCTTTGAAGGGTTGTGAGTCCCCCTTCTTGCTTGGTTACTTTCTCTAGTGCAGGAGCAACAATTTGATCATAGAGTGGGAGGAATATGCCTATTGACAGCAGCATTATCACATTTACTGAGCCGGGATGTATCTCAAAGTTATGTCCCAAGTGTCTATCCATTTTCATGGCTTGTGATACTCCAAATATTGCTTGTTGTCCTAAGGGAATGTAGACTACGATGCTGGTTAGGAATATCGGCATGATCCTCAGCAGGCATTTGAGCTCTTCGACTTGTTGGATGCTACAAAGTCCCCAAGGGTCTTTGTTCGATCCATCAATGTCCAATTCATTCTCCAATACTATAGCAGCTTTGTTTAAGCATCTAAGAAACAAAATTCAATTATCTTGAGTTAATTTAGTATTTAACTTTACCAACCATTCAATTAACTCAATCTTTCGTATTGTAAGAAAGCAATTTCTTGACATTAGCAACTATTAGCCAGTTTGATCCTTTGACTTTCGCGTGCATCAGTCTCTAACATCAAGGTTAAAATATGGTTGTGAAATTCAGGAACTACATTAACTAATTGATCGGTGATACTAATTTTATAAACCAGATTAAGTAACCTTGTAAATAAATGTACCTCTTTGTAATGATTATACGACTAGATTACCATTTAATTTGAGATATTATTTACCCAAACTCATTTGTAGGAGGCAGCTTTCCTTCTGAATCATTTAGGAGTGGTGGATCATAGAATACTCCTTGTGTGTCCTCAGCAGCAGGCAGATGAAAATGGCGTTTGTGTTGTGCTGCAACTAGCACTTGAACTATGCCAGAAAAAATGCTTCCCACAGGTTTAACATAGGCATAAACTTTAGAGCCAGCAAAGAACAAAAGAATTGAAACAAGCATAAACACATTGGGCAGTGCAAAACCGAGGGTCCAACTAACAGAATCCTGGATATAAACCAATAGAGTTTGGTTGATCAACAAGACCAATGTCTGTGTGGTATAGTACAGAGTGTAGAAGCTGCTACTTCCATGCCTTCCTTCAGCAGTGGTCAAATCAAATTGGTCGACAGCAAATGGAACACTGCAAGGCCTTATTCCACCAGTGCCAATAGATAACCAGAACAGACCAAAAATTAAGACACTCATTTGGAAATTTGATTGACCTGAGCACACACCAATTCGCTGCTTCTCTATGGAGCAAGGTTCAGGATGAAATTGTGGCACCCAAGCCGTTAGCATCACTATAACCATGCCCTAGTCAGTTAGAAATAAAAGTTAAATTTATAAACATTCAGCATTGGTTATGTTGCAATTGAACATGAAAAACATCAGCTATAAATTACAATCAATCCAAACGAAAGTAAAAGTTACCACAAGGCTAGCAAAGGATGCAAGGGCAATTGTTAGAAACTTTCCCAAGTAGGCATCAGCAAGAAAGGCTCCAATGAGAGGAGTAATATTGGAGAGAGCAAGCCAAGTGTTCAAAATGTTTGCTGATAGAACCTGATCCATGTTATATACTTTCATCAAATACACCACAAAATTTGCTTGCATTCCATACGTTGCTAGCCTCTCAATTGTGTCATTTCCTGCACATTTTTCAAGTTAATATTATAGCCCACAGCATAATTGAATAGTCTGGTATCAATTATCAACATAAATTTTTTGGCCAAAATATATTTTTGTTCTCTTATTTTACTTTTTCCCTTTCAGTTTGGTCTCTTGAAATTTAAAATGTTCATCTTGGTCCTAAAATATTAACAACTTGATCCTTCCATCAACAAGGTAAAAGGTGACAAACTATGAACATACCAGTGTTTGTCTCATACAAGTTAAATTAACACTGATGCAAGAATGAGAGATAATGCTCTTTTAGCCTAAAAACTTCTTAAATTTAGAAGATGAAATTCAAACAAGAGAATGCTCTTTCAGCCAAAAAAAGCTGTAACAAAATTTGGAGACAGACCAAGAATGTAAGGCATGGCTTTCCATCCAGGCTTCCTAAAGTGTGTCTTAGGCTCTGATTGAGGAAGGCTCTCTTCATCTACCAATTTTTGTTGCAGAGAAGACATTGAGTTGGATTTTTGGTTAGCAAAGGAAAAGAGTGATCTCAACCTATCCATTGTGAATTGCTTAATCAGTTTATGTACCTCTTGTGTGGAAAATGTGAAAACTATGGACCTTATATAACAAAATTATTGGTCTTTGGCAAAACAGTATGAAACAGAAAAGGCTGAAAGTGCTGAACTGTCATGCATGCTTTGGTCCTGATCTCATGAAAATCCATTCAACAAATTGGTTTTTGACAACATTTTTATGACTATAATACATTTGACATCTGAATTTATTAATTATACCATTAAATGCCTTCCTTAGTTCTTATAATTGTTTCTCTATAAAACCTTGACCAAGTTCAAAGTTAAACCAGGTAATTATCATAAGAATTAGTTTTGAATATTGTTTATAAGAATATCCTTACTTACCAATTATTTTCTAAATTTATTAAAATAATAAATCAAATTTATTAATGTCGAGCTTTATTATAGTCTAATGTTGTACCATACAAAAAAAAATTATAAACTATTTTTTACCATTCTCGTCAACAAAAAATAGGCAATGAATATACTAAGTACGGAAGAGAATAAAATAGTTACTAAAACAAATAAAAATAATTTTAAAAATAAGGGGTAGTTCTATAAAAATATATAAATCATCATTTTTTATTAAATAAAATTAGTTATTTAGCAACTAACTTGAAATATGTAATGGGAAATATCATTGAAAAAAAAATTAAAACAAACAATTAATTGGCACAACAAAATGAGTTGAAAGACCCATTTAAAGTAATTAAAATTAGGAAGACAGATTAGGTGATTCAATCTATTAGTTGACTTCAACTTACTCTGTCGATCCCATTGTTAATCAAGGCAAATTGGTCGACATTACTTTTCTTATTATTAATATAAGTCATTTAAAAGTTCATTAAAACTTCATTTAAAAATCAAATAAATTAGTAATATAAAAAACGTAGACACATAGACATTCAAACTTTGTATTTTCACTAATAAATTTATAAAACATCTTCTTTGCGTTTTAGACATTCCTAACTTGAAAAGTTCCCATATCAATATCTTTGTATACAAGAAAATATGTTTTTAGTCCAGTTTATATTTTATTTTAAAATTGCTTTTAAATTTAATCTAAAAATCAGAGTTTTAAGAAATAGGTAAAATTATTTGCCAAAATTTATTTTATAAAGCAATATTTGTAAAAAAGAAAATCATATATTGAAAAAAAGCTGTGTGTAAACTTAAATTGTGGAATATTAATTATACTATAAATAAGCTCTCATTAAAAATTAAATTTAGAACATTAATTATACAAATGTCAAAATCACTTTAATTATTAGAATTTTGTGTTCATGTTGAATTAAAAAAATATATATTAATAAATAAATAAATATTAATTAACAATAATATAATGCTAATGTATTACATAATTTTTTGTCAATAGTATATTAGAAAAATTAAAATAAAATTTTTATTTGAACTTATATTATAAATATTAATACGAGTATTGAGTTTATTAAAATATTTGATGATAATTTCATAAAACATGTTTACTTTATTTTCGTTAGTACCGTAATATAACTTGATAAGCATAGCAATATTGCTGAACATGCTAATTATTTTATAAAATAAAGAATTGAATATCACTTTACATAAGCATAATGAAATAAATGATTATTTAAAAACAACAATAGTTTATCAATTTTATATAGAAAAATAAGAGGAAGATTAGTGCATTACCTCTAAATATACATAATTCACGTCATTTTTCATGTATATTTTTTAAAGGTACAAATATATTTAATAGTTTATTTTAATTTAACAATTTATGTTTAAAAATAAATATTTTATTAAAATTAAAAATATAATATAAAAAAGAATATGGTCATAATAAAAAATAATAAATTACAAAATAAATCTTAAAATTTATGAAATAATAGTAATAAAATGTATAAATAACATATATTCAAAGCATACTTCAAATAATGTTATAAAATATCGTACAATATGTCTAAATTTTATGTTCTAAAAAAAGTAGGGCGAACCCTAAAGCAAATTTCAAAGGAGTTTTATATAAAACAATAACAAAATATTTAGTAAAATTATGAAGTTATCGATATTTTAAAAATCAAATAAGTCATTATATTGATTAAAGCATTGATTTAATGTTTAATTGAATTGATGTTGAACTGATATTAATAAAATAATAAAAGTAACTAAAATATAAATAAAATAAAATAAAAAATCAAAACTTTATAATACCAAAATCTTAAAAAAAATTAAAGGTTATTTAAATTACATATAAAATTGAAAATTAAACATATTATAACAGTTAATTCAAAAAATCGACAATATAAATCAACAATCATTATTAATAATAAATGTATATTAAAACAATAAATAATAAATATTTTTTAATTTCTTATTATATCTTTAGAAAAAAAGTCTCAATGGTGTTGTATTGATAAATTTTTATAAGCTAATTTTGAACCGTTTTTTTTAATCAATTTTTTAGCTTCATGTTATAGTTTATTTAAATCGATCACCTAATAAATTCTTTGGTTTCATAGTCCAATGAATCAACTTCAAAATACTAAATTTTGGTTAAAAATATGTTTCTTAATTATTTTTTTCAAATTGTTGTAGTCAAATATCATTCAATAATTATTTTTGTAATGACCCTAGAAATCGCTACTATAATGATGTCTTCGTAAAGTAGTAAATAAGTAAATAACAACATCTATTTTATATTATATTACCTGTAATTGTAACATAGATTGAAATTTCGATTCACTAATGGAACTTCAAAATATAATAACATAATTTATTTATATATTATACATGTAAAAGTGGCTCCCTCGAAGCTATCCCATCGAACTATCTCTCGTTGTCCAAGTAGTCACATCTCCATCTCTCAACTCCTGATCTGCTCCCACATAAAAGTGATCATCGCAGTCTCATCCACATGGAAAAATAGGGGTAAGTATTAAATAATTCGATATAATAAAACATATATAGAACTAATAATTATATATTATGATCTATTACGAAATTATCAACACACTAAGACACCTTCCGGAAGTATACCCTAATTATGCCCGAACTCAGAGGCTATCATCTGTGGGCACATTGTGATCGGTACCCGCAGTACCATTCTGACCACCCTCCACACATAGTAGGATTACTGGCGCCCTTCATCACTCATACTAGAGTACCCCTCCGAGCGCGCCACCAGTCATCCCCCATCGACTTCTCACCACCTGATCTCGTAGTCTACCTGATCTGACCAATCAGTGAAGTCTGAGACCTCATTCAGAATCCTCCGACATAGTTATTACACTAATGTACTCTGTACCACCCTGGGTACCATTCAAACATAACAAAAATTATTCACATTTGCCGAATTCTGGACCACCTGTTCTCACGGCTCATTCGGGTCAATAAAAATAGTATTTGACTGATTCTGGCACCAACCCTCCGACTCAGTCTAGCCAATATATGACGTCTCATGACTGATTCTGGGTATCAGCCATCAGGCTCAGTCTGACCCACACACGTCACAACACACTACTTTCATTCTCTCTCTATATATATATTTTTCTAAAATAATTTCTGAAATAATTTCCGAAACTATTTTCGAAACTATTTTTGAAATCATTTCCAAAATCATTAAATTACTATTTTGCCCTTAATCTTTTCTTAAAATTCCATGTATGTCCCTAAATGACTATTTTACCCTTGGACATTTTCAAAAATTCCTTCCATGTCTCGAAAATGACTATTTTACCCTTGAACATTTTCAAAAATTCCTTCCATGCCCTAGGATGTAAAATGACTATTTTACCCTTGAACATTTTCAAAAATTACATACATGTCCCTTTCTTCTTCCTCGCTCCCTGTAAGCCATTTTTAAAATCCAAATTTTCCAATTTCTCAGTTTAAAGCACCCAAATTAGTTCTAAATCAAAATTAAACATGCAATATGTCCAAATTAAGTCAAAAACAACAATTTTACTATATAATTCATCCTTAATTTCAAGAATTTCATCAATATTTAAAACTTTGCAAAATATGAATAGTAATCACCTCCAGTACGCCATTTTCAAAATCCAGGTTTCAAATTTCTCAGTTTCAATCACCCAAATTAGTTCCAAATCAAAATTTAACCATAAACATGTTCAATTTAAGTTAAAAACAACAATTTTATTATATAATTCATCCTTAATTTCAAGAATTTCAAAAAAAACTTCAAACGGTGAACAGTTCATCAGAATCAGAAATTCTTCAAAATCAGACATTTAAATAATTCATATCTCTACTCCTATTCCTTATTCACAGAGTACCCAGCAATTCAATTTCATATATTAAATGAATTAAACTTCCCCTTACCTTGTATGGTATTTCTACCAAAGATTTTTCACTTAATTCAAACTCTCTCCTGTTTCACCAGATCCTGTAGGAGTAGAGTATCGTTGCTTGAAATTTAGACAAAAGAAGAAGAAGGATGAGAGGAAATTTTTATTCTGCCTCCTCCCCCGCTTCAGTACGCGCATATATAAAAAACAAAAATTTATTGTGCATGAGGAAAACTTTGTTACGAAGTTTTCTTGCACAATAATCTTATTATAATATATAAAAAAACATACGTAACAATCTCCCCTCCACAAAAAAATTTCGTCCTCGAAAATGAACTTACTTGGAAATAGATATGGATAGGACTCTCGCATCTGATCCTCCATCTCCCAAGTGAAGTCTCCGGATTTCTGATCCCATACTACCTTCACCATTGAGATGGTTCTACCTCTAAGTTGCTTCAGCTGAAAATCCTCTATTCTCACTGGTCTCACATCAACGGAGAGATCGTCTCTAATCTGCACATCGTCTGACTCCAGGACATGACTGGGGTCATGTACATATTTCCTCAACTAAGATACATGAAATACATTGTGCAGATTCGTCAAATGAAGTGGCAACGCTAACTGATATGCCACTGGACCTACCTT